CCTCATCCAGGGTGTGGAGCCCTGTGGATGGGGGTGGGTGGCGAGCAGGTACAGATCTCTTGGCTGCTGGCCTCCAGAGGATCAGTGCTCCTGAAGAGCCTGGGAAGTGTCCAAACCACAAAAGACCCAACACAGTCATTCTCTGGGACTTGTGTGGCTACAGATGGCTCTGCCCTGGTAGGGTAGCAGGGAAGACAGAGATGCACTTGTCCTTGGTGACCAGAGGATCACAGGCAGCAAGGCTCTGACCCACAGGAGGCTTCAGGTCCAGGGCATCCTTCAGCTTTTGTCTACGTCCCTTTTCAACTCTCAGTGGAGGACCCTGCCCCATCCCAGCCCCTACCATGTCTGTCTGCCCTCCCAGAGCATGGGGAGTCCCTCAGCCCAGACTTGTACCGCTCTCACATCTTGGGCTTCCAGCTCCCTGCTGGAATAAGCTTCTCCAGGAGTCTTCATATATCTAGAAATGGTCCAGTGATGAAACTGGGCTGAGGAACTTGACAAGGGCCAATTGAATCAGGGCCCCACACTCAGGCCTGGCCACGTGAGTTGAAGAAGAACCACAGATTTCAGGTTCCAAACAGGGCCTAGTTAAAAGTCAATCTGATAGGGACCAGCAGTTAGCGTAATGGCTATGTCCCTGGACTCCCGTGTAGTCGACCGTGGTTCGAGTCCTGGACCTGGTGGTTGAACTCACGCCGGGCACGTGTGTGTGCGTGCCCAAGATCCTGAGAGGAGAATGGAGGAGAAGGGATTGCAGCGTGACCATCCCCCCGGGGGGTGATTTCTCACTTTCTGTCTCTCTGTCTCTCTCTGTCAGGTGAGTGCACGCGGCCTATAGCAAAAACCTCTTCAAAAAAAGAAAAACTTAAAAAAAAAAAAAAGTGAGTCTGAAAGTCAGTCTGATACACAGAGGCCCTGCTGAATGCTGGGCAGAAACTGCCAGAGGCCACACATGTGGGTCAAGGTCCTAGACACTGGATGGCTACCCATGGCCTAAACTCTCAGAGTAGTGGGGTGCCACTGCTTGTGGTGAGTCTCCCCCATGTACGTGCCCATCACCCTGTCCCACCCAGGACCTGGGAGCACTACAGTGTATTGACTGCAGTACTCTCCTGGCTGAAATTTGGGGCGTAGGTACTACTCAGTGGCTTCCTTCCCCAATAACAGGAAAGAAGCATGGGAGTTCAGCCCTCTGGCCCATTCCTTAGCTCAGCTGCTAAGTCTCTGGTGGTCTTTAGACCAGATTAAATATGAAACTCTTGTTAATCTCTCTCTATTTTAGATTGTTTTCAAACATAACAAGCCTTGGGCCATGAACAGTCCACCCTTTTAGCTATAGTCTTTGATCAAGAAGAGGAATTCCCAGGCCCTTGGGCCCTAATTGGCTCTATGACTCAGTGGCACTCCTGATTTTAGTCCCAGTCCCCACCACACACACTGTGCTCCAGGTCAGGTCTCAGCCATCCCGAGGCTGTGTGAACCTGCTTTTGTTCCCTGATACTTCCTGGGTCAGATCCCCTCATCTTTAGGCTCACATCTGGACCTTATTAGCCTCCAAGTCCTTGCAGGTACAGTGCTGTTCCAGCTCCCTAGGAGAGCATTCCAAGTACATAAGCCCTAGGGCCCAGCCTGTCTGTTCTTGGTGTTTCACCTAGGTACTCTTCTCCCCAAGATCTAGTGCTCCGCAGTGACACTCTCCAGGACCATAGAGCCATTAGCATTGGCTGCCCCTGGGATGACAAACCACGTGGAGACATGATCATGTTCTAAAGCCAGCTGGCCAAGCAGACCCAGCATCTAGGGCTGTAACTGTTGGTCATCCCAGCTCAAAGCTGGACTATTGCCAATGTGGTGTTGCATGCACAAAAGGGAGTGCTATTTAGGAAGCAGGACTGGCAGCCAGATGCTCAGCACAGAGTGTTGGGGCTCCAATGTCAGAAAGACAAGACCTGTGCATACTGTGTGTGTATGTGTGTGTGTGTGTGCATGTATGTGTGTGTGTATGTGTATACAGCTGAGCATACATCTTCTCCCCAAGATCTAGTGCTCCGCAGTGACACTCTCCAGGACCATAGAGCCATTAGCATTGGCTGCCCCTGGGATGACAAACCACGTGGAGACATGATCATGTTCTAAAGCCAGCTGGCCAAGCAGACCCAGCATCTAGGGCTGTAACTGTTGGTCATCCCAGCTCAAAGCTGGACTATTGCCAATGTGGTGTTGCATGCACAAAAGGGAGTGCTATTTAGGAAGCAGGACTGGCAGCCAGATGCTCAGCACAGAGTGTTGGGGCTCCAATGTCAGAAAGACAAGACCTGCATACTGTGTGTGTATGTGTGTGTGTGTGTGCATGTATGTGTGTGTGTATGTGTATACAGCTGAGCATACAATGCACAACATAACTCATGTCTGGGCATGGGCTGTGTATCCTCTGTGTGTGTAGACAACTATGTGCCTATGTCCCTGCGTGCAGGGGTATGTTCATATGTGCATCCAGTGTGTATGCACATGTGTGTTTTTGTGTATCTTACAATGTAGATATGCTTACAAGTGCTCAAGTGGGGATGTTGGTGTGTCTGTATCTTTGTGTGCATATCCATGTATATGCTCATATGTGAGTATTCCTGTAACTGTGTACATACATGTGCTCATAGTAGTGTGTGCATGTTTAGGTATGTCCCCATGTGACTGCCCATGTGCTCATGTTTGTTTGTGTGTTCTTGAGTGTCCCTATGTATTTGCACATACGTGTGCATGTTCACATGCCAGTAGACATGAGCCTGCTCCCATGCTGCTGTTGAGTGCCCATGTGTGCATGTTCATGTAGAGTTTCATGTGTCAGTGCCCATGTATTTCTGTATGTGGCGGCACATTCGGTGTCTCTGTGTGTGTGCACTTAAGTTACGCGTGATGACCTACTTACCTATGCTGCTCCTGAGTTTCTCAGAACATCTGCTCTTCCCTCAGTTTCCACATCCATAGCTCCATGTGTACCACTTTCTGTGACCAGGACCCAGGAGTCAGCCTCACTGACTCATGGCATTAAAATCTCTGCTGAAATGTTACCTCTTCTCTGACCACACCATCCAAACTCTCCTCTCCCTGACAGCTGTTGAGCGGATGTGGTTTCCCCCCTAGTGTTTCTGCCAAGTATAATTATTCTTCGCTATTCCTCATGTACTCAGTCCCTGGAGAGGTCACCACACTTACCCAGCAACCACAGTGGAGTGGACAGGTCCCCTGAGGCCTTGCAGCTCTCCTTCCCCTTGACCAGACTGCATGCGCTGCAGGCTGTGAGTTGAGCAACAAGCGAAGCTGCCTCTCTGGAGCTGGCCTGTTTGGCTCTCACCTAAGTTACCACGTCCAGCTTGTCCATTTCTAGAAACAAAGGCCATCAGCTCTGAGAAGCCATCCTTGTCATGTATTTACCCCCCAAGGCAGGACCGGTGTTCAGTGGGAATGAAAATGCCAGGATACCCCTTATGGTCTGAAACACCTCCTATTGGTTCTGACTGGCTAACTACAGCTGGTTGGGGAAGGCCCAGATTTGGTTTATCTAGACCCTGGGCCTCGGCCAGGCCTGGCTGATGCTGCCTTTCATACCTCATCCAGGCTGAGGGCAGCCACAGAGGCTGCTCTCTGTATGCAAGCCCTGAACATCTGCCTGTCAGTGAACACTGGGAGCCCAATGCCTGTGTACACTGGTTGGTCCTGACCTCTTAGATACAGGGGCTCAGTGCAGGCGGGCGCCACTCCCCTGGTTCCTCAATGAGGCTACTGTGTGTGGCCTCCCTCTGTTCTTGAGGGATGCAGGCTGCCAACAGGCCGATCTGAGAGGCCCCCCGACAGGATTAAGCCGGATTACATGCCCCGGAAGCCTCCCCGTGGTGGCTCCCAGGCAGGAGGGGCTGGCTGCTCTCCCCTGGCCTGGAACCACTTCTGCTGCAGAACTGGTCAGGGAGAGAGGAAGGCACTTTTGTGGAAACTCTGCTTGTGGGGAGGGGGCCTGGAGAGCCTCTGTTTATTGAGCAGAAACATACAGGGAGGCCTGGGCAGCTAAACAGTGCAACACTGGGGAGGGCATCCTGGCAAGGAGGGCTCAGGTCAGCGTTGACCATACTCTTGTCTGCCCTCAAGGCAGTAGGCCCTGTAGCCCCTCCTTCTCCTCCCTGAGGTATCTGCTGCCAACTGCTGCATATGCCCTACCCCCACCCCCAGAACAGATGGGGGGAGATGGGCAGAGGCCTTTATGAACACAACAAATGGATTCTTTGTAATTTTTCTGCTTACAAACTTTGTTCTCTTCCATCCCTATCCTGGAACTCCATGGGGGAGACCAAGCAGGAAACTGAGGCCCAGAGAGGTTAAGATGTCACTCAGGTTACAAAGCCTCCCCTGCAGAGCCAAGATTGTCCAGAGGCCACCTGTACTTCCTCCAGCTCCCCCTACATTCTGAGTCCTGGCTATAACCCACTTTTGAGCAGACCTCAGTTTCAGCTGGGCCTGGAGCTTGTCCTTGACTTTAGGTCAGCTCTGAGCTCCAGAAAGGTGGAGTGACCCAGAGGCAGCATAGGGTGGGGGTCTGAGACACGGACACCCACTCCAACTCCAATCATGCACATAGTCCACAGCTAGAATCTCCCAACTGCCCCTCACCACAACAGGTTCACCCAACCACATGTATTGTCCCAAGGCCTGGGCAGGGTGGCTGCATGGGCAGCTCTGTGCAGGGAATCCCATGCAGCCCCCTACTTCAGGCTTCTCACTGCATGTTGTTACATCCATTCAGTGTTGCTCATTACAGGATGTGTGTGGGGGAAGCTCTTCCCTTCAGATAGAAGGCGAAGGAAACAAGGAAACCTCTGAAGGAAATGAAAAGGACCAGAGTGAAGGTTGGATCTGTTTTGAAATGGCCCGGTTTTGAAGCAACAGTGCACTAACACTAAGCAGTGAACTTAAAAGAAATGTTTATTTTTGCTTTCCAGCTTAGGCCCGGCAGAATGGCTCCCACAAAGAAGGGTGGCAAGAAGAAGAAGGGCTGTTCTGCGATCAATGAGGTGGTGACCCAGGAATACACCATCGACATTCACAAGCGCATCCCTGGCGTGGGCTTCAAGAAATGTGCACCTCAGGCACTCAAAGAAATCCGGAAATTTGCCAATCTAGATGTACGCATTGATACCAGGCTCAACAAAGCTGTCTGGGCCAAAGGAATAAGGAACGTCCCATATCAAATCCGTGTGCGGTTGTCCAGAAAACGAAACGAGGATGAAGATTCACCCAACAAGCTCTACACTCTGGCGACTATGTATCTGTTACCACTTTCAAAAATCTACAAATAGTCAATGTGGATGAGAACTAACTGCTGATTTTCAAATAAAGTTATAAAACCAAAAAAAAAAAAAAGAAATCTTTGTTCTTGAGTCTCTTAGTTTCTTCTTTATTAAAAAAGAACCATTTTATTTTTATTTATTATTATTATTTTAACGTTTTCTATAGGGCACATGTGCTTATCAGAGGAGAGAGAAAGCAAGCCACCAGATCCGAGACTCGAACCACAGTCAGCTTTCTGGGAGTCCAGTGCCTTAACCACCATGCCACCTACCAGCTCCTGTGGGTTTCTAGTTTTCTTTCCATAGCTAATGAATTTTGAGGAGGTCACGTTCTCCCCCTTTATAGCATGTATGTCTTTTTTTTTTTTTAATAATTATTTATTTTTATTTTATTTATTCCTTTCATTTTTTATTTTACTTTGACCAGAGAAGTAGACTAACATTATGAGAGTTCCTCTGGGTTCTACATGAAGACCCTCACTGACCGCTTCTGGAGGCTCCACTGTGATAGGGTCCCTGCACCTGGCCTCTCCGCAGCAGAGAGAGGCAAAGCCTCTATAAAACCTGAGCAAAGTCCACCTACTCCCAGGGCAGCCCCACCTGCCCAGGGAAAGCAAGATTCTATCAATTCCAGAGGCCAGACTGCCCTGGTCAGGTCATGAGGACCAATCCATAAGCTGTCCATAATATCAAGGTTGTTTTTCGGGACACATTCTTAAGCCAGCCTTCACAATTTTGTAAGCATACATAGCCCAACATTGTACTACCTTGAAAGATGAGAGAAAAATGGACACAAACATGTCGGGAGGTTTCTGTGTGTACGTCTTAAATGATCATGACCCGGACAAGCCACGCGGCATTGTGATTAAGGCAATTGGATCCTACAAGGCTCATTGTGGGGTTTAAGTCCTGATCCAGAGGCTTGAGAAACACACCAGGCACGATTGTATGCATGCCCAAAGTATTCAGAGGACAGTAGGGAGAAGGGATTGTGGTATGGTCATTCCTCTTGGGAGGTAATCTCTCACTTTCCCTCTCTCTTCTTCTCTGACTCTCTCCTGTAAGCGCACGTGCCCTATAGCAAACTAAATAATAGTAAATTTTGTAAAATATTCATAACGCTGTAATCAGAAATGGTTCAGAAACTCTTGCAGTCCATCTAAACACACACGCTCTGTGAGCCTGGAATTGTTATTGAACAGTGACAGGGTCGGGTAAAGATGGTGAACGACCAGGGTCCACTGTAGGGCCTTGTGCCCAGCAGATGCTGCTTGGTGCCTCCCAGAGTGTCTGCACCCAAGGACTGAAACTGGAAAGGCCATCTGTGCCTGTCCTGCCAAAACCCCACCTGAGCTGGGGTGGAAGCAGTGGTAGAAGTGGTGGTATATGCTATTAGAAGGTCTGAAAGAGGAACTCTGGGGAGCTCTAGAAAATGGGGAAGGCAGAGAAAGACGTCTCTCTTCGTTTTGTTTGTTTTTTAAGGCTTAGAGTTCCTGGGGTTCCTGACCCTGTTCAGAGCCCCTCCCACCGCTGGGGGCTGCTTGGAGTCTTCTTCCGAGGAGGCCCAGGCTCCCCCACCCCCAAGACCCTGCAAGGATGTGCTGGGCCCTAGGGACAAAGGACATCAATTCTGGGGTCTCCCAGCAGCTAAGTGACGCCGCTGCCCTTGAAGCGATTTTCACAGCCGGGGAAGCGCAATTGTATTTTCCAGCCCATTAAGCTGGAGCACAAAGCACCGCCAGCCCCAGGCCTGAGCACGGGGCGCCTCGCTCTGGAGCCATGGGCCCGACGGCTCGGATTCCACAGGTCCCTCCCCGCCTGGAGACGAGGACGCCCATTGTCCCCGAAATGTACCGCCTGTTTATTCAGGCCCTTTGAACACTCCTCCCGCATTGTGGGGCACGCCTGGGAGAATCCTGCCCCGCGACCAGGAACAATGCGCCCTGGCCTCAGGGCCGTGATTAAAGGGGTTGGACGCACACAACATCTGGCTGCTGCTGGAGGAGCCTCAGAGTTGCTCAGGACAGAAAATGGATACAAACTTTATTAGTAAGATGAGAGGAGTCTGTAGCCAGGGCTCCCAAAGTTCCAAGGTCCAGATCCAGGAAGAAATTGCAGGAGGTGGGGTGGGGAAAAAGACATTGGGTCTCTAACTCCAGTGACTGGCTAAGAAGCCAGTGGGCACTGCCTTGGGGAGGAGCAAACATGTTGGCCCCATATAGCCACAATGCTCCTAGGAATGAACTAGCCTAAAGGGGTCCCTGGTCTGTTTCTTTCTCAGGTGTGGTTTAGGGGTGTGGCCCTTCCCAGGTTGTTCGGGGCTCATGAGAACTCCCTTTAAAGTGAGATAGTAATACTAACAGAGCCACAGCTCCATTTAAAAGGCTGCTCCCTGTGTGCTTTGGTGTCCCCTCAGCCTCTTACCCTTTCCCTCACCCTCTCCTGAGAGGCAACCATTTTCCCATCCGCATGAGACCTGAGACTGTACCTCACCCACCTGGGGGAAGTTTGGCTTAGAAGCTCAAAGCCAAGGCCAATCCTTTCCTTAGGACTAAGTAAAGCAGTGAGGTCTGGCACTGGTCTCAAGCCCTTGAGGTTTGCCTTCTACTTCCCTTTGTCTTCTCAGGGTCTCCTGGCCGGTAGCCCACACTCTAGGCTGCCATTTCCTCTGCCCTCAACCAGGGTAGTTCAACATCCCTTTGTCCAAGTGCCATGCGCACACTTTTGTGCAAGTCTATGGACTCTCTAGAGTCCTTGAAGCAGATCCTCAGTGTATAGGGGGGGGATGGGCCCCAGGGCACCCTTGTCCCCTTGTTCAGGGCATGGCATAGCATCTCCTACAACCTGAGCATCAGATCCACTCCAGTTACTGCTGCCTCTGGCCTGGCAGGCTGAGAAGCTCTCATTTCCACCCACAGGAGGCTTCCAAACACAGCTCACCTGGGTGCCCAGTACTGTCTCTGTCCACAGGCAGACACAGGTTCTCTGTGAACCCCCTGGCCTGGCCTCTGCCCAAATTTCTATCTGGCTTCTCCTCTTCTCCTCAGCCAACATCTGTTCAAGGCTCACCTCTAGTGAGCACACGTGCCCTATCACAAAAACCTTAATAAAATAAAATAAAAACACAATGAATTGAGACTAGTAGATGGTGTAATGGTTATGTCACTGGACTCCCACACAGTCGACCACAGTTTGAGTCCCAGACCTGGCAGCTTAAAACTCACACCAGACACGTGTATGTGTGCCCAAAATCCCAAGAGGAGAATGGAGGAGAAGGGATTGTGGTATGGCCAACCCCCACCCCCGGGTGTGTGTGAGTGTGCGCGATTTCTTGCTTTCTGTTTCTCTGTCTTTCCAGCGGGTGCACGTGCCCCATAGCAAAAATCTTTCTAAAAACAAAACAAAAACCTATGAATTGTTTATTTTTGGAATTTTCCATTTAATATTTTTTAGATTATGGTTGGCCTCCAGTTAATTCAAACTGAAAGCCAAACTGTGGATGAGCGGAGACTACTGTATTTAAATCTCTTTAAAAGATAACTGAGAATGTACATAAAAATGGTACCCCTGTTAGTGTGGGTTAACACAAAGAAGTCAAAATATGACACTAGCACACATCTGGGAAAGGAAAGGGAAACAGTATACTAGCATAAACTTATCCTGCCAGGACAGTGACATGCACCTGTAACCTCAGCCACTCAGGAGGCTGACTCCCATCAATTTGAGGCCAGTCTGGGCAGCTTAGCAAGATTTGATCTCTAAGAGACTTTTTTAAAAAGTTCTTATCCTACACACAGCTATCCCTGGTAGGTAGAGTGTGATAAATTAAAGAGATGTACTGTAAATCCTATAGCAACCACTAAAATAGTAATTTAGAAAAAAGTTATAGGGGGTCACCCCTGTAGCCTATAGGTTAAGGGAC